GGATGGGTAACTCTGATAATGGTGAGAGCACGACCTAATCCAAAGACAGTTTGAATTGGGAGTTGAGGGACGGGGGCATCTGGTGTGATTCCGAGGGAATCAAAGAGGTGCAGAAATTAGGCCAGTACGCTGTCTCGTATTGGCCTGGACAAGAAAGTCAACTGAACAGCAGCCCTCGACGATAAGCGATTTCTTCCTGGAAAAAACAATTATTTATTTCTACTGAATTACCCGAATTAGTACAGTTATGATTTTCTGGTCTGCCCCTTTTTCCACGTCTTGTGCGACACTTGATAGGGGTATAATCTATCTCTGGTGGAGTTTGAATGAGGCAATAAAACTGTAGTCTGAATTCTGAAGCTAGGTCTGGATTCTCTCATAATTCAGAAATGAGAGCTGAGTTCTCGCTTGCCTCGAGGACTCTAAAAGGCCCACTCAGGGTAAACGTCAATTTTGGATGCGTACTTTTACTTATTCCGGAAGTAACCTCATGTATACCCTATCACCGGGTTTGAATACCTCTGAGGTCCCTGATTTGTACATTTTGTCATATTGCGCCGCCATCTTTTGTCTGTACGACTCTCCATACTCACCTGAGCATTCTCGAGCGAGTTTTAGACCATTCAAAAATTCTGTTTTGTACTGGTCGTAATCGACCAGGTTCAAAGATAACTCACTCGTCGGCATTGCGTTAGATGGGTAGTGGAGCTCGTGATCATGAAGTAAGTAATTTGGGCTTTCTGGCGTAGCGTCGTCGGTTACCACCTGAAGTTGGTCACATTTCAAGTACATCGACACCGATCACATGGAACGGGCGTGTGCTATAACGTGGTTTCAATGGCGGTACACTGATTTTTCTTGTATTGATGAGGAAGTTTTTAACATTCTTTGCACCAGCGCGCAACGTCTTGACGCATTCTTGGTCAAAGAACGACCTTCTTCAGTTGACTGTGCATTTTGCGCGAATTCAAGTGTCCTGCCATGAGACCGTAATGGCGTTCATGGAACAAGTCTTTTCGGCATTGTCTTGGAACAACTGTCGCTAGCGTTCCATCCTCGCAAACAAGCTTCAACTGATATTTTCAAGTACAAAGTACTACTTAGTTCTTTGTCAAGACGAAGAATCGAGCCTCGATAACCTCGATAGCGGTGATCAGCGGCTGGAAATCTGGGTCGTCTCTCAGTAGGTCTAACCACCTACTGCACTCTATTGAACCAGCACCTTTTTCATTCTCTCCTGTAATAGGAGTATCATCGAATTCTTGCTGCGCAACGGCGCGTGAAAGGGCATCTGCGACACTGCTGGATGAGCCCGTAAAATAAAAAAACGTGATGTTAAAGGGACGTGGTCAGTTCTTACTATAGTTCGTACTCCATTACTATTCGAAATAATCAGATTTATTAAGACCATGAATCAGAGCCAATGCTTCTTGGTTATATGATACTGTTTCTCAGCTTTACTTATCGGCTTTGATCTAAAGTACACAGGGTGAATAAGCCCGTCGTCATTATCCTGTGCTAACACGGTGCCTACTCCATTTTGGCTTACACCATGTACAAGTAGAAGGGGCGTGTTCCATTGCGAGCCTTTGTTATGTCAGACTGAGCAAGAGCTACGTGACCTCCTGAACTTTTGTGAATGGTCCTGCTACGAAACCCTGTGACGCAGACGGATAGAGGGCAGCGGCTGCCAAAGCATCGAAACGTGCAAAAAACGTATGGCGAGCCAGGAAACGGGATTTTTCAAGGGGAGGGGACTCCGGGGTGGGTGAGCTACTTATAGTCGGTGAAAAGCTGGAGTGAGCGAAGTCACAACGGCCATAGAGTGCCATGCGGACGAGAGAGTGCAGAGAAAAAGAGAAGATCGACGCGTTCAAAGGGATTGAGTTCAAGTTGTCCGTAGACTGTGCAAGAGCGGGTGCTCTCGAAAGAGCCTCTTTCAAAGCACTAAACGCTTCTTACTGAGCGTCGCCCCAGCTATACTGAATTTTTGTACTTCGTGATGTCGTACAATGGCTTCGCTATATGAGAAAATCTGTACACGAATTTACGATAATACCCTGCTAAACCGAGAAACGCACGCAACTCTGCCAAATTCTTTGGTTGTGGGTAATCAACGATCTTTTGGATCTTGTCAGGGTCGGTATGCACTCTTTTTGATCAATGATGTGACCAAGAAATGCAATTTTTGATTCCATTGACTTGCATTTTTGAGGCTTTACTTTCAAATGTGCGTTTTGAAGTGATGTTAGGACCTCTGCAAGCACTTCGTAATGTCTTTTTTCGGTATCGGTTGCCATCAAAATATCATCCATATGAACAGAAACTTCTCCTCTGCTCATGAAGTGTCCCAGCGCTTTATTCATAAGCCTGAACACTGCAGACGCCGCGGTTAAGCCAAAGGAAGTACACGAAACCGGTATAAACCAAAGGAATCGTGAACGCTCTGACTTCTTTTGTTTTTCTGTTAGGAGGTATCTGCCAGTAGCCGCTGGCTAGATCTAGCGAAGTAAAAAATTTTTTCCCTTTCAGGTTTCTGTAAGGTTACATCTATTGACGGCAACGGGTAGCTATCCTTTTTTGTGATTTTATTAACCTCTCGGTAATCAACACATTAGAGTATCCTTTTTGTGTACTGTCCTTTTTTGCAACTAATTCTAGGGGCGAATTCTGGGCGAAGCCCATGATGATCGAATACCTTCAATGACTCCGTCCTGTTTTTAGCAAAAATGCTCAACAATTCTTTTGTTCGGTGTTCTTTGGGGGCTACTTCAGGGATCTCCATTTGCAGCATATCACCCTGAATTGCTTGACTGTTGGGGGTAAACCAAGTTTTATTTGTCTAGCATCCTACGCAATCACCTTTCCCAAGAGTCCAGGGCTGCTTGCTCTGATTGGTTCCGTGAACGACGGTGGTACCATTTTCTATATGGCAGACTCCAGAGCCTATCCTCTCGGTACTGGATCTCAGCACCCCTTTCCCTTTTAGAGAACGGAACTGTTATGTTAACGTTGGAAGTACCACTCGGTGGTACTTCCAACGTTAACATGACGAGCACTCTTGCAACCACCTTGGGTTTCCCTGTTGTGCTGCCCTCAAGCTCCTTCCACTTGAAGTGAGTATTTTGAGTTTCTCAAAGGTGATGTGTAATACCAAGGCTCTGCTAGGAGCGTTTGTGCCCAGCAGTATTGTCTCATTTTCAAGCTGTTTTGCACATGCATAAGTCATCGTGCCCTCCCTGCACCCTGTACCTCAAGGTTAGTGGAGATCAGCTGTAGGAACTTCATTGAGTTACCCAGCGCATCCTCAAGGTCCTGTACGTTGAGCTTCTCCGAGCAAGGTCACATGTTGTATAGGCTATGAGCCTTCTTTTTGGCTGGCGCTCTGCGCGTCTGCTGAGAGGGGGGGATTTTATTGAGATGACGCTCCCGGTATCTATGACAGCTTTGGCTCGAATACCTAATGAAATCACTTCGCGACTCGCCATTATCCCGTTGGTTCTACTTCCTTCTCGTCTTAAGGCTACCTCCCTAACGGACTGGTAAACTTGACCGGGCGTTGAGTCTCCAGCATAGCCAACATATGATATGGAATTGGCCAAGAATGGTGATTGATGTACATAACATGGTACCCAACTCGAAGTCAATGTTCTGGGCAGGATGTGCAAGCCTACAAATTTTTTCCATCCTATTACAAAAGTCATCTATCGACTCTTTTGAAAATTTCTTAAGATTCTTCCACTGTTCTAAAGTTGCCGCTCGCATTGAACTTATAACAAATGGTGAATGCTGTAGTGAATGAACTATTTTTTTGTTTCCTCTTAAAAATTGTCGAAAGTACCTTTTGCTTTCCCTTCCTGACAGGTTGGCAGTATTCTACACATAACACTGCGTCGGACCACAACGCTGGGGGGGGTATTTAGCATTGAAGCCTGTTACGGAATGGTCAGTGGAAGTGCTACCATTATATTCACTTTTACGAGGCGCTACATTTGCTTTCATCGTTTCTTTGAATACACACAAGAGGCCTTCACTATCATTGTAATTCGGTGAAACATGTGTATTTTCAAGAATTGATCACATTGCTCACCCAATAGCTCTTCGTGGGAAGACTTGCTCCACGATTGTTTCGACTTTCCATAGCATTCCCACCTCTGCAAGGGGTACCGGCTCTTCTCTCTTCAACGGCGACCTTGGTCGAAACTGAAATTGGTCGTTCTTATGGCAAATCCCCTGAGAAGAATCTCTGTGAATAGGTGCACCCTCACCTTTACCAGTTTTCGGCGACTCCTTTCGGATTCACCGTTTTCAGTTGAGCTCCTTTCTCCCATCTACATCCTCAGACTGTCTGCCTGCAAACTTGTTATTTTCTTTTTACAATTCTCATTAGTGCTTTCGAGGTCTCTCGCAGCTGATAGAATTTCATTTTCTTCG